GCGCTGTGCTGTCATCACTAGTGCGGGGGACTATAAACAGGACTGAACCTTTATGCTGTTACAGGGAGCTGACACCGACATAAACAGCCATTTACTTGCTTCTAAAGGCAAACAGGAAGCATTCTTCAAAGGACACTAACGGCTCTGTTAAGACACGTGAATATCGTTAAAAAGTATGTTACTGCGTAGAGGTGGCACAACGCTAACTGTTATCCTTCAACAAAACGCGTACGACCGACAAGCTTCAAGCAGCCGTGTTGTGCAAAACAGCCTTTGTTAACCCGCCTGTAACAACTACAATTGTCAACATTTACCGGGAGAGACTTACTTTGTAAAAGGTCAATTTGTCTCTTAAGTGCTTCTCTCTCCTCCATGTTTACGACCACAACCTTTCGTCATTAAATGGCGACGCCCTTAAGAATGACGTATTTCATGTTGGCCAATCACAGTCTGAAGAAAGTCATCGCTGTTTATCCTCAGTATTGACTTACAGGCTTGACATTTAACTCAAAATGGGCCGTAAGAATGAGTAGAATTTTCTTATTTATTTATTTATTTAATTTAGTGTTGTGGTGAGCAGAGTTAATTTTATTGGAGACTTAAAATGTTACTAAAACACAATAAACAAAGATAAATGTCTTCAGCTTTATCAAGGCTGTGGTTTCTCTTTGCATGTATATGTAGATGTGTAAGGCCATATGTCTAAATGACTTTGCCTGGTTAAGGCAATGCATGATGCGTGCTTTGAGCAAGAAGAACCAGCTGCCTCCTTTCCAGAAACTACTTTCCGTGCAAAGGACTCCCATTACTGTGCCTGGATTAACCAGGCTTATTCAGACACGTTAATTGTAAGACATTTTTAAATACAATACAACTAAGAGACCACTTTTCTGTATTGATTCTTGTATGGAAATCACAGTGAGAACAAACACAATGACTGAACAAACTATGAACCGACTTTCAGCTACAAAAACAAACAACAATAAAAGGAAGCTCCAAAGGCAGATCACACACCACAAGGTAATTAATTGCCCAGAATTTATCTGATATGCACACATGTTTAAAAAAAAACAAGCTTCAATTTTCATGTACTACATGCAGTCAGCATTCTTGAGGCTGGATTGTCAGATTCAACTGACAAAGCCGTTAGCTGTCTGTAAGACAGTACTAAGGGCTTCATTTCGTAACCTCGCTATCGTTGATGCGCAGCTGGCTGACAACCGATTTGAAAACATTACCGTCATTTCGGGAAGCGTCTCTGTATTTGCGTTTTATAAAGTTTAGAATTCCCTTCGGGGAAGTAGTTTTGGGCCAAAAGTTTGTTCGTCTGGTCCATGTTTCTATGAACTGTCATGAACAAAGTACCAGTGACGCTGCTGCGAAATGAAATGAAAGAGGAAGTGAAAGTTAAGGCAGCTGATTGGACGTAAAACGAAGAGAGAAGACAGAAAGGAAAGCAATCTCTAAAGTTGCTGAATAATTGAAGGTAAAGCTAACGGAGGTTTCTTTATAAATAAATACTCGCTGGAGAGACTGATGCAGACGGTCTGAAGGTTTAGAATTATAAACAATGTTGACTCCGTTTTCAGTTTGAACTCTGCTTATTTGTAGAGTTGACATTGTAGCTCGTTAGCCAGCTAGCTTGAGTGCTGGTGTCAAAATTGATAATAGGTATATTGTTTTTTTGTTTTGTTTTCACACCTGTCTGAACAACACATTTGTGCTGTGTGTGTTTTCTGTGTGTCTCTGTACAGTAGGTACCCCTTTACATCTCCTGGCTCGGCAACATGGCATCAACAGAATATGTGTACTTCATCTTAACAAAAAAGCCAGAATGGATCACTTTTGCAAAAGCTGGAAGTATTGTTTACATGCCTGAAAATAAGTACATCTCAGAAATGAAAAAATCCCCCCCTCCATTAAAGCTAAGAATGTGTTTAATGAACTACTACTCTAGAATAGACTATGACTTGGAGGCCAACGACATGGAGCAGCTGTGTGTAGAGGAAGTTGAGCTGCTGCAGGCACTGCCTGATGATGCTGAGAGGCTGAGGTGTTTCAGAGAGCGACATGATCTGCAAGCAGCAATGCAACTTGCTATAGGTACTGAAGTGACTGTGGAGGAAGCTGGGAAGAAGCTCAGAGGTATCATTCACTACATTGGACCAATAAAAAAGGCATCTATTTCTTGTCCCATACCAGGATACTTTTTTGGAATCGAACTACAGGTTTGATGTTTTTTTTCTTACTCCTTCTGGCATATCCAGAAGATATACACATATTATAGGTTTCATTTTGGTTTGAGATTTCTGCCTCCAAGCAAAGACAAGTGGTAGTGTTTCAAACTGGGTTTGTTAATATACACACCATACTACTCCACAATTAAATGGCAAGAGCAGGTTTTTGAAGTGATTTGAACATTTATAAACATAAGTAAATAAGACCGAATCATTACCAGATTCATAAATATTTAGACCCATTGCTCAGGACTGGATTAAAGTTCCTTTGAAAGGAGTAAATCTTTTGAGAATAATCTTACAAGCTTGGCACATTTTCCTCAACTCTCCCTTGTATTTTTCTTTCAAGCTCAGCCCAGTTCTTCAGAAAGCATGAATGCACAGTCATTTAAAAAAAAAAAAATTTTCTGAGAACCTCGTTTGGATTCAGATCCGGAGAAGTTTTCTTGGCAATGTGCATCAAGATCCTGAGCACCTAATGGGTGTTAACTCAAACGTACTATGGGTCAAGGTCACGATTGTCATCTCATGGGCAATAACCTGATGAATTGTGATAGATCATGAGCTGGATGAGCTACCACATTATTGATGTCCCGGTTTAGCTTGGCTGGTCAAGCAGAGCTACAAAGATTTTGAAATGTATCCAGCTGTGAGTAATGGGGGTTGCCATCTTTTTGGGCACTTAAATTGCCACAGAGATTGTCAGATACAATCCTGTCTCACAGACAAATTTAAGTTGTGGAAACATATCAAGGACAACTGACAGAGCCAGTATGAACCATAAAAATGTCTGTATTGTAAAAATGTCTCTAAAGATGATACTTCAACCATTTATTTTTGAATAAATCATTAAAATACCCTCAAATTTGTTTTGGGAGTATTTTAACTTGCTTTGTCATTGTGGAGTGGTGTATGGAGACAACACAAGCAATCCAAAGTTGAAAGGGTGCACTGCTTCATGCTTGAAAAAGCATCAATTTCTTTGTAAGGTCACTATTTTGAATAAGTTTCAAAATGTCTTGTAAAACAGTACACTAATTGAAAACGTATAAATGTAAAAACCTCACAAGCTGAAGCCAGGTGGAGCCATTCAACTCCACAACTGCACAGCATGATTTCAGTTTGCAAAGCAGAACAACTGGTAGAGAAATTTAACTGAGGTCTTGTGTGACATCAGTTTTAATCTGCTCTGCTTCTTTTTCTCCAGGGACCAGACAGAGGAAAGGGCTACTGTGATGGGACCTATGGGGGTGAAAGATATTTCAAGTGTGACAAAAACTGTGGCGTTTTTACCCCATTCAACAGAGTCAGCTCTTTATTACCCCCTGTCCATAAGCCATCCCTACAGTCAGAAAGGCTAGAGTTGGGAGACAGAGTTACTTGCTTCATCGATGATAAATTTCGCTATGGAATGGTGCTGGATTTACTGGAAATAGGTGGACAATGTTTCGTTCAGATTTCCACGGTAAGTAATATTCCATTTTTTAAATTCCAAAATCATATCAAATGTAATTTTGTGCCATAAATCCACAAAGCTTATTCTACAAAATCAGATTTTTATGTTTTCAAAGAAATAATAACAAATAATAGGGACTAAATAATTACCTGTTTAAATTGTAAGCAAACTCTTTGTTATGAAACACACCTGAGATTTACAGCATCATCATTTCATCTAGTAAAAGTAATCACTTAATTACATTTCTGTTGACAATTTAGAGGAGCTAAAGCATTTACCTTTCCATCCTGGCATCAGCAGCTGTGTGTCTGAACATAAACCAGCATGAGCTACATGTATATGACTTTACTGCTTCAGTTGTGCCATACAGCATGATGCACTACTGGATTGGTGGATTTTGTTTTGTTTACAGATCTCGCTGTAAAATGGGTCTAACTGGCTGAAACCCAGCTTCACATTCTGTGCAGGTCACTCGACTGACAGCTGCTCTGTGTGTGAAAATGACTTTTATAAAATAATGCCTTATTTTTATAATGATTAATTAAAAAAAATCACATTTAGGATATTCACTCTACAAAATACATCCATGTGGCAGAACACAAATACAAAGACCACAGTCTTAAGTTACATTCATCAGACTGACTAGTGTTTACTAAATGCTAATGCTAACATTGTCATAGCTAGATTCATAATAGCTTAATGTTTGATCGGAGATGGGGATTCAGAACTCACTGGAGTGAGTAATTTAAATCATGCCATTGTCCCAGAATGGTCCTGTAAAAGTCTGGATCTGAATCCAATTGAAAATAGCAGTGCACTGATAATTATCCTGTCTGATGATATTCTGTCATTTACGTGCTCCTGCTTTTCTTTGAGTTTACAGTTACAACCAAACTTTGTTAAGACTCTCTAAAACTGCTTCAGCAGTAGTAGTGGAGTATAGGACAGTAATATTTCCTTTGTCTGTTGGTGTTTTCAGGACAAAGATGAATCTGGGAAGACGGGGGGTGAAGTTAGAGTTCCATTAGAAGCGGTTATCAAAGGAGAGCTGATTGCAGGTTTGAGGTCTTTTTACATTTGTTTGTTTGTTTTACATTTGCATCATGCCTCAGCCAAACACATTTTTCATTGCAGAGGGAGAGAGCATGGATGTCGACACACCCCCAGAAGCTGATACAGATTATCTCTATATGGGTCTGAGTTTGAACTCTATGGTAGAAGTGACTCTGGGTGAAGGCAACACATATGGAATTATTCGCTGGATAGGCAAGCTGCCTGATCGAAGTGAAACTATGGTTGGCTTGGAACTGGTAAGTCTTTACTCATCATCATTTAAAACTGTTTTGCATATTTATGTTTTAGTTTGCGTTTAATGTTGGGTTAAATTTCAGACATTGGTATAATCAGTCTGTATTCTGATCTGCAGGATGAGAACAAAGGAGTGAGTGATGGTACTTTTAAAGGTCAGCGTTATTTCAAATGTCCTGTGAAGAGAGCCCTGTTTGTGAAGCTGAGCTCATGCCGGCCTGACTCACGCTTTCAGAGCACATCATCCAATCACAATGAGAAAATGCAGCCTGAGGACACTGGTTAGTACAGGATGGACAAACCTACACTCTATGGAAAAATTTATTAGGCCACACCTCTTAATCTTAATCCTTTGAATTCAAGAGGCCACAGGTATATAAGACTCGAGCACCTAGCCACGCAGTCCGTTTTTCCAAACATTTGTGAAATAATTTGTTGGTCTAAAGCTCTCACTGAACTTGAGTGTAGTACTGTAATAGGATGCCACCACTCCAGCAAGTTTGTGAACTTCTTCCTCTCTCAGATGTTCCATGATCTACTAGAAGTGTTATTGTTGCAAAGAGCATGTGTTTAGGAACCACAGCAATGAAGTGGCTCTGTTGTTTCAAAGTTCTTCTGGCATTAACATCAGCACAAAAACTGTGCCAGGAGCTCCACAGCTGAGCTCCTGTAGATGTAATTAGTGTCCCGGTGCTTTCTTCAATGTAGTTTACATCCAACTGGCCGTGAGTGACCCCTTGTTCACAAAGGATTATTTTATACTGAAAACAGCAAAAAACAAAACAAACTACATTTTGGTTGAGTTTGAACTTTTCTGGCAGCAGAGGGAGAATTAATTTGCAAAAATTAAGCTTTGTTTCCTTTTACTTACTTGAAACATGCATTTCTATTTTGTCTTTCTCTATACTTGTCTTTTTTTAATATAAAGTATCAGTAGTGTTTACTGTTTGTATTTTTGAAGCATTTTTAGCAGCAGCATCAAATGCAGTGCTCCAGTTGCACATTTGTCCAACAGCTGACTGTAGCATACACTTTACAACAGCCATTTGGACATCTATATCTGTTATCTGTTTATATACATAACCACATATTTGCTGTTTATGTTTTGATTTAGTGGATCAAACAGACCACAGTACAGCTGAGTTGCAGACTGTTCCGCCTATGAGCACAGAGCAGGTTAAGCAGCTTCTGACTGGACGAATGAAGGGGATTCAAGGACACTGTAACTCTTGCTACATGGACGCTGCCCTCTTCAGGTCAGCATAATAAATTATTATCCTGTGGTTTTACAGTTTTAAATAATGCACAGCTTCCCCAACAAACGATTTTACCTGTAATGGCTTTTAGCTAACTAGCTAGCTAGCATTGACATCATCATCAGTGCAGATGCCTTGTCCTGCTTCTACTGGTTAGAAATTGTTTGATGGTGTCTCCATTTCTACTATATTGTTGGTATACCAGCTACTGCAATTGAATGCTGTACTGTACATTCAATGTGTGGGTACAGAGATGAAACCAGTTGTGCATTTAACATAGCAAATCTAATATGAAAGCAGTTTCTTTAACTGCATTTTCAAAGCATACTGAAAGGATTCCAGTCTGACTTTTTATTATATTTTTAAAAATCCATAATGTTAGGGAATGTACAGTTCTTTATGTTAACTTAGTTTCTTTCTTTGCTTTCAGTTTGTTTTCCTGCTCTTCTGTGTTGGACTCCATGTTGTTCAAATCAACAACACCTCAAGATGCCCCAATTCAGAGAACACTGCTCAATGACATAGTCAACCCCCTCCGCAGGTCTGTGTTTTGATCAAATCATCACATGGATTGCATTTTATTTTTGCTGTTATGAAAGTTCTGTGTGTGCCGTTTGCAGTAACGGCTTTGTGGAAGGAAGACACATCATGAAGCTACGACAGCAGCTGCAGAAACATGGCTACAGCCAATCATTCACCACAGATGAGAAGGGTCTGCTTATTTGGGAAAGCTTTTCTGGAAGGCATTTGTTTTGTCTTAAGTGGTTGAGTTTGAAGTACTCATGTTACTTTTGTCTTTCAGATCCAGAGGAGTTCCTCAGTGTCATCATGCACCACATCCTCGCCCTGGATCCTCTGCTAAAACTGTACACTTACTATAGCTAAATTACTGTCTCCTGCTGTACTATATAGTATAATGCATTTTGAGACTCATACCTGGAATGCAGACTATTCTTGTGTGTTCTCCCATTTTAGATCAGCTGCAGGTAAAGTGCAGGAGAGTTACTGCTATCAGATTTTCCTGGACCAGAACCACAGACTAGTTCTGCCAACAGTGCAGCAGCTACTAGAACATTCCTTCCACAGTGCAGGTCTTAAGCTGGCAGAGGTGAGAGCACTTCATTGTTAGGCACAAACTTTAAAGTCCCACTTTCACTTTTGTTTTATTGCTTAACAAATTAAAAATATAACGATATTTATCAGAATAGAAGGACAATCCTGTATTATAATATTTCAGTTACCAAAAAAATGGAAACTGTTTTTTTCCCCCCACAGATTAATCCAAAAATGATTTAGCTGTTTTCTCACAGACATGTAATACACAGACTTGTAATGGTTGGTTCTCCAGTAGATGGCTCTGTGGGGAAGCTTTCTGAGCAGACCACCTGGAATCTGATCACTTGAGCGTATTCAGTCTGTGTGGTCTTTCATCTTATTTCATCGTACCATCACTCCAGGTGCCGTCCTGCCTCATCCTCCAGATGCCTCGCTTTGGGAAGAAATTCAAGATGTTTGACAAAATCATCCCCTCTCTGGAGCTGGATGTCACTGACCTCCTCTCTGAAGGTCAGATTAAGAATACAAAGTCACAGCGACTAAATTTAACACAGTGAATACAACGCACGGTGTGTTTTTCAGGTCCCCAGCAGTGCATGCTGTGTGGAACCCTGGCGCAGGTTGAGTGCGTCGACTGTTTTAAAGATCCCCTTTTCAGCCCGACAGGATTCAAAGTCTTCTGCGAGAAGTGTTCAGAACAGGTTTGTCACATTGTTTTAACACCTGAATCATTTTGTTTGTCTTTGGCTTAATTTGTCACGGTAGAGGGAATGTATTGACGTCATTTCTCCATGTGAAACCTCCCACCTCACCACAGTTTCATCAGATTTAGCTGCTATTAGGAGGTAGGACTCAGATATAGAGAGGAAACAAATTAAATCACAATCAAGGCTGATCTGTACTGCAAACAAGTGGTCTGTCAGTGTTGAACATGCACTAAAACTAGAACTTTGACTTAATATAGGTCATCAAATTTTAGACCGAAATCCCAGTTGGTTTGAGAGATATTTGTTAGCTACCTGTTCAGATTTTTTTTATTATTACTGTATAATTATTGTGTATAATATTGTGTATTTATCTGGCTTTGCAACACATGGTGTTGTTTTGCTTGTCTATATATAAAAATCTATGCTTGGCTGCTTTCTGAATCAGTTTGTGCACTGAATTGAACAGCAGCTAATTAACTCTGCTCTTGGTGCATTACATCACCTGCTCACCATCTGCTGTTTAACTGTTGGTCCTAGTAAGTACTGCTGAAACACTATATCAGTTCAGTGGCATACTATCAAGCCTCTAAATGAAACGCTGTGCGAAAATTTGAATATTTTATGAAATATTTAAATTTTGTCAGACATCAACTAGTGTAGGCTAGTGTATGTGAAGTCTTCCTCCTTTCCTCTTATACATACAGATAGCAAATGAAGGACGTACACAGATAACTAGGTCATCCACTTAAGTAGTGCGTGACTAGAGCTGTGCCTTGTCATGTTGTTGAATACATACATTTTTACATGATATAAAAATGTCACATCACAATATCTGTGATATAGCAACACCATGACTACAATGACTGAAGCCCAAACATATCTAACAGTGAGAGCTGAGTGTGAGGCTCTGATGATGATTTAGTAAAAAGCACAATGCTCTGCAAAATGTGCAAGAAAGCTCTTCTGGAGCACCTGCTAGCACTCCATTCAGGAAGAGCAAACTGGATGGTGGTAAACGAATGCTGTAAGCAGCTGATCAAGGAAAAATATTTCTCAATTTCAATTTTATTATTGAATTTATTTGTTGTATTTTCAATTAGCTCTGTAACATCAAGTGGATGATATTTGGTAAATGAGCTTTTGTGACTTCAGCAACATCGGTGTCATAGTTTTTGCCAGAAAAACCTAAATACATCTAACAATACACTTTTAAGCAATAAATTGCAAACATGTTATTTGAATCAAATTTGATACAAATTAAAACTCATAAATAAAAAATTATATATATATTTTATTTGTTAGAAGTTTCGCTAAACACACCATTTTCAAAAATGTTGAATTTTTCAGCATATATTAGAAGGTTCAGGCTTTGCAGTCTTTCTCTTAAAACACTGCTTCAGCTCATGTTTTATCCATTTTCGCCGTCTTCTTCTTCTTCCCAGATGGTCTAATTTGTCTCTGCCAATAAACCATCAACATATATTTTTATTGAGACCAATTTAGCCCTCATGCTACATTTTTGCACAGGGCTGATGTGCTTTGGGACCTGTAATGCGTTTTTTTTTTTCCCCAGTTGTTGTTAGTGGCCTCTCCAGTGTTTCTCTTTTCTGTCTTCTCTTTCCCCTGATCCTCCAGCCTAGGAAAATGTCCCACTGGGTATTTCATTGGAATTGAAAGAATCTGAGGCTTTAAACTTTTAATGGTGCCCCAGTGCTTGTTTGGTTTTGGGAACTAAAGGAGCATTTGGACGCAGAGATAGCTAATAATGTCATACTTTAGCTAGGCTAAAGCTGTTTGGGGAGATGTGTTTCGTGTTGGTAGTCTCTCTGTGCTCCTCTTTTCTCTCTTTTCATTCCTTCCATCATTCACCCTGGTTCTGGTGGAGGTCTCTTCCTGTTTTAACAAAAAACTTTATTTCCCTCATGTTGTCACCAAATGCTTGCTCATCGGTGATTGATTGTAGGGATTGTGTCTATACTATTATAGGATCTTTATTTACAACATTATAGAGTTGTCTCAAATATCTCCTTTGGTTTAGGGATCATTTATAGACAATGAACTAAAGTTACTAATGTGAAATTTAACAGTGGCTACATAGATATAAAATAGTGACTATTTACAGGTCTAATAGTGTGTATGTGTTTTCAGGTGCACTCCCATCCTCAGCGTCGCAGCCATAAACCAGCATCCCTGGAAATCCCAAAGGGTTATGTTGGACGTAAAAACCCTCACACTATGATCAGAGACAAAATGGAGCTGTTCGCTGTGCTCTGCATCGAGACAAGCCACTATGTGTCCTTCGTCAAATATGGACCAAACACTGAGGACTGGATCTTCTTTGACAGCATGGCAGACAGACAGGGTAAGCGGGATATTTAATATGCATACACAAGTTAGCTCTGAGTGCATTTTGGCTCACTTGTGTGTATTGCGTTCAGGAGAGATGGATGGCTACAACATTCCAGAGGTGCAGCCCTGCCCCGAGGTTGGTGAATACCTGGAAATGTCCCCCTCCGAGCTGGCCAACCAGGCACCTCGAGATATGAAAGGTGTAGCAAAGCGTCTCTTCTGTGATGCCTACATGTACCTGTACCAAAGCACCACTATGTGCCTCTATCGCTGATGGAACTTGAGCACACTGGACGTTTTGCTATTTGTGTAATTTCTTTTTGCTGCATTGTTTTGTTTTTTTTTCTTTTGTTAACATGCAAATATCTTAAATGTGTGTGTGGTGCTTGGGTGCTGGAAAAAAATTATAGCGACAATAATTTTCTAATATGGCATGAAGTAGAGGATAAACTGACATTGCTTTCTAAGTAATTTGCACTATAATCTGAAGAAAATAATTACTGGCTTGCAGCATGTGTTGGACATAAATTACATATTGCACTGTAAAAATAGTTTTACAGTTTACTGCTGATGTTTGTAATTACTTTAAATTTTATTTACAACTTGTATAGTGAAAGTAAATGAGTTTTGCTGATGAAAAACCCTTCAAAGTAGACAGTAGTGATGATTCAGTACGGTTCATTAAGAATACCATCTAACCAGCTCTATTTTAAAAGCTTATGTTATATGCTGCTGTTATTTTGGCATCAGATTTGGATGTTGGCTGGATTTCTTTATATATTTAGATATTTTTTTTTTATCTTCTGGTATTTAAATTTCACACCTGAAAATGAAACAATGATTTTATTCTTGACAAAGATGTTTCTGTGAGCAACCTAAGAGACGAAAAGATGTTGGGAATAATATCACAGTGGAAAACTGTGCTTGACTGGCTGCTTGGGAGTCCTGGTTGAACTTGTGACCTTTTTCTATTTTTTACTATTACTACTTCTGATATTCAGTAAAATAGATGTCATAAATAAATAAATGCAATCAATAAAACCTTTCATCATCTGTCTTTACTAAAAGAGTTGGACATACAGTGTGCTGATACACATACAGCTTCACAACTATGCAAACTCCACCAACCATGCGTCAACCATTTTACCCCAGTGACTGGTGATTTCCAGGCATTTGCTGACTAGTGTCTAGGCCTGTTCAACTGACACCGTATTCAGGAATTTTAACATGTGAGTCCATGAGGACTGATTTCCTTTTGGAACCAGCCTCAACTATCCATTAGAGGAGATTCACTTTTTGGTACTTCATTTTAAGCTTCAGTTGTTGCCACTTCATGTATTTTCTGTTGTCATGTTTTGGTTTTCAAGAGTGCAGGGAAGTGTGTTCTTCCTTGATGAACAAACTGCTGTGCCTCAAGAGTTGGCGGTTCGTCTTGTAATCGGAAGGTTGCC